TTTTCCATCGTCATTGTTGTCATCATCGGGGGGGCCTGAACCCAACCAATCTAGCTTCTTCGCATACTCCGGCCCCGTTATGCTCATGTCGTGCCTGAAACCAATGCCGTAGGGTTCCCATTCAGGGATGTAGTCGGGGTACTCCCCAAACGTAGCGTTCACCTTCCCAAGCCTCTCCGTGACGACTTTTGCGGCGCGGACGACGGATCGTCGATGATCGAAAGGGCGATGCATGGACGCGACGAGTGTGGGCTTTGCCAGCAGGTTCGCTAAGTAGAAAGCTTTGTAGTGGCTGCGCGGATCGTCTCCCGCCATGCGCATTATCCACATGCACGCTGCGAACAAAAGCCTGAAGCAGTCAGCCACCCGACAGAGACGGTCGTACGAGATGAAATCGCCGTCGATGTGCGCACCCATTTGCACCGCCCTGCGGAATGCATGCGCAATGCAGATGACAGTGGACTCCTGGTACACCGCCATGTTGTCGTCCTCAGGTCTGTCCTCGATGTTGGTGCCGGCGAACCACAGTGGCAAGTCCATGGACAGATCTATCGTGTGCGCGCATACCGCCGCACTGACGACGTTGCACCACTCCTCGCCGTGCCACATTGCACGTGCAATGTCCGTCGCTACGGACTCGAGCGAGTACTGGAAGGCCAGATTGTAACCCCTTGGGCGGTTCGCGGACTTGAATACCCAGCCGTGCAAGATGCGCAGAGCAATGTACTCCACTGTCGCCGCACGGGAGATCGCCTGCTACAACTGTGATGGGTCGGCGATACTGGCTACCCTCATGTTGGATTTGGGCAGGACGAAGCTTCGAGGGACGGCATGCGCTGGAAGGCCACTTGCGATGGCGACAAAGTACTCTCTCGTTTCGTGGACGATGTTGTATAGTCTTCGCCCCTCCTCCGTCGTCCAGAAAGCTTTGTCATCAACCCAAAGCACGACACGATCGATGAGGTCTTTCGTCATCACTCCCCTACGTACCCGGCTTGAACCGGGCTCGCCGCCCTCCCGATCAGTTTTGTTTTTGCCACACGCCTCCTCTCTCACCGTCGCCATTACTTCTGCCTCCTCTCTGGTCATCACAACGGGGGCCACAGTGCCTGAAGCACCCGCACCCGCACCCGTAGCAGCTGCCAGCTTGCCCCTATCTGCGCGCTCGTCTGCCACGATTTCCCCCCCGCCGGCGCGTTGGACGGACCCTCAGTCATCACCCGGGTTGCGCTGACGTGGCTGAGACGGTGTGGCGGGCAGTCTACCCGTAAGTGGCCTTTCGTCTAGCGCAGCGCGTGCCGTCACCGCTGGCGCTGAGGTGCCTTGTGTAAGAGTGCACTGGCGACGTTTATCCAAGGGCTCGTCATCATCGCCACCCAGATTGACGACGACAGCCTTCTCTGTCCGCGTTTCGTGGGCACATAGTTGTTGCGCCTTGGGTGGAGGGGTGAGCATCCTCTTGGAAGCGCTCTGATCAGAAGAGCGCTGTTGAACACTCTACCGTACTGAAGACGTGGTCACCTCTGCCTGCTCTTCCTTTGTCATGAAGTCGTCGTCGTAGTCCCCTCCGCTGCTGCCGCCCAACCTTGCGCTTGACGAGGAGGCACGCTTGCTGACACATCATCCGAACGCGAAACACCCTCTTCGCGTTCGGGACATGCCGCCGACCTCTTCCCTGCCCTTGGCTGTCGTCAGGGACGCCGTCGCGTTTCTTACCACGGGCGCTCCCTCGCGTAGACATGCTTCGTCGGGACCTCTGCAGGCGAGCTTGGCAGTCCGATCGGATGAGCGGGAAGTGCTTCGTCGACCGCCGTCTGAAGTCCCACCGATCGCGCGAGAAAAATGTCTCCCGTGCTGATGTAGCGTGACGAGGACGAATAACCCTACGACGCAGAAGATCTCTCCTCCGCGGGAAGAAAAAGACGACGTACACATGTACGACAAAAGGACGACGACCCCCGCGAGAGTGCTCCACGACGAAAAGATTGACGACAAGAAGAATAGAAGAGCGACGGTGAGAGTGCTCCGCGGCGAAATGATTGACGACCGACGTCCACGTGTACGACAGAAGGACGACGACTCTTGCGAAGATCCTCCACGTGACGAGATGGCTACAATGGCATAGACGATGGTCCTCCACGACACTTAAGATGTCCGCGGGGAGCAGGTGGCATTTATCCGCGGCGAGTAGGCTTATACTACTCCCGCGTCGTTGTGGTCGGTGTGCAGCAGGCGAGGCGGGCTTCTGTACTGGAGACACCCTCGTACGGATGACATTCATGCGGGTTGGGATGCGCACGACTGAAGTAAACGTAGCAGATGGACCGCCCAGGACGTCGCTTCTCTGTGGCGGGAAACAGCATCGTTGACGGTGCCACGTGCGACCGCCCTGCCTATCCTGGCGTGTCATTATGATCCTCCCTAAGGCGCGGAAAGACTCCTCGACGTCCTTGGCGACGTGTGTCAAGGCACTCGCCAGGGACCAAAAGCAAGAGAACCCACCTTCACCTCTCGCCACCCCATCGCGCCTAGCCCTCGCAGCCACCGACCCCCCCCTTTCCATTCCAGACCCCCTCGTCCACAATCCCCTAACCAGACACCCCCTTTCAGACGTGGCTTTGTGGTTCTCGAGCTACCAAAACGCAGACGATGCACAGTCGTAAGAAACGATGAGTAAAAAAAAAAAAAAAAAACATTACCCACACAACTATGTGGACGAGACACACACGGACACATACACACACACACACACACACACACACACACACACRCAYACACACACACACACACACACACACGCATACACACACACACACACACACACACCGTGCTCCTCGATAGAAGAATCCGTGAACAAAAATTAAAAAAAAAAATTAAGCCAACTACGAACGCAATGACTGAACTTCAATCAACACACGATCGAACGGCCTACATCGGTGACCGACCACGGATGGCGGCAACGATCTCCATAAGCGCGTGGCACATCATCCTTTGCGTCTCATCGAACGCCGCATAGTGCGCTTTTCGGACTGCAACTTCCTGCTCGAGGATGTCACATTGCCTCGTGAATATGCTGCATTGCCGCTTGCTAGAGGAATCGATCGTCAACGACATCAGTTCTCCATGGCGGTCCATGACATCAACGATCGACTCCAACGCCTGTTGACGCGCATTCTTCCACTTCCCGCCTCCAGCCCCACTGTCTGCGTTGTTGTCGGAGTCCCTCGCATAAGAACGTTCTTCAGGGCAGCCTTCACCACCGGCCTCACTACCAACAGACTCCCCACCAGCCGCTCCTCGCCTGGGCAGCTACACCCCGTCCGGACTGCCGGTGTCGGCGACGTTGGGAGGGAAAATTGTATGGTTCCCCAGCATGCTTGCGTGGATCTCGTTGTACAACACCCTCTCCATCCGGAACTTGAAGTTGTGCTCCTTCCTTTCTTCATTCGATAGCCTGAACAAATCTTCCTGGCCACTTTCATTCTAAAACCTCTGTATCTTCTTGTAGTTTTGGAAGAGATTGTCCCACTTCTTCATGCAGTCGTCGGCGTCTTTAGGCCTCCCCGCGTTCGCCATGCACTTCACAATGTCGTCCCACTTCCACTCCTTGGTCCGCATCCGCCCGTAAATGTGACCTAGTCCGACGAGGTGCATCTCTTGCTCCCGCTTGCATCTCACCAGGAGCATTTGGTCTTCCGGAGACTAGTACGTCGCAAACTTCCCATCGTCGTCGCTAATGCCACCTTTGCCGCCACGGCCAACGGATCAACCACGAACATCACCTCTGCTGCGTCCTTTCCCCCTCCCACCCGTCTTCCCTAGAGGGCGAATAGGACTGTCGTCGTCGTCGTCCCCTGCTTCCACGTCCTCCCTGAATCCTTCGTCGGCATCTTCACCGCGACCGCCATCGTCGTCGCCGCCATCACTATGTGCCCGCATGTTTGACACTCCTCGTGTGATGTTCTCCAGAGTGGGTCCTGGATGCACCGGTGGTCTGCAGGCGCCCTCGTCCCTCAGGTCGGGTTGGGTCGGCGTTGTGCGGTTGGGCATCAAAGGATGTGCATCGCCCATGCGCAGGACTCGGACCCGGCTGCGACTCCAGTGTGTGCGGGCCAAGTACTTGACAATCGATCGGCGGACGGTGTAGTCGATCCATGTTGCCGGGCTGCTGGCGATGGCCCGACACCGTCAGTAATGGACGTACCGCCACGAAGTGTGGACTGCTCCGTATGCTGACTTCCAGCATGTTGAAGGCCACGTGGCGAAGGATCGCCGTCGATGATGAACGTACGGCTCGCCTCCCTAGCGCCGCCAGAACACAACCCGAACCTGAGATCAAGTCCTCCGTCGTCGTCGTCTCCCAAGCCTTGCTGCAGGAGTGAGGTGAACTCGCCGCCTTCGTTGCTAGCCGACCCGCCTGCTTGCACCGTCTGCGACAACAGCTGCGTCGACCTGCTGGCGAGGGGCAACGTTGGTCTCCGGTTCCTCGTCCGACAGGGGCAGTGGCGTCTCCCACGACTCTAGATGGGTGTACATGGACGGGTCGTACTTCCGTGGAGGTTCTTCCGCCCTGACCTGCAGCCAGAACCGCGCGTGCCTGCATGCCCGCCATCGGACGTTCCCCTGCCCGCCGTTTCGTTGACGCCCTCCGCTTGCGACGTTGCTTCCACGACCGACACAACAAACACACGTGGAGGAAGATGACCACAGCGAGCACCAGCAGAGGCAATCTCCTCTGCATGTCTGCCATTAAAATTTCACCTCGGGAGGCACCCTTCCACGCGACTACTGCAGAAGTATCTTCTGGCATGCCGGTGGATAGGGCTGCTGGACCTTCATATGCCGACAACCACCAGAGAAGACGGCAAAGGTGCCCGCCTGCGATTCAAAAATCGACCGTTGCCGCCTGCGCACTGCCCGAAGCGCCTCCGTATGCCGTCCCACGCACGTCGTCGTCCTCCTCCGCTACCCGCAACCGAGCCAACGGTCCATTACAGACGCCCGCCCGCCCACGCTCGCCCCCCCGCGCTCCACCCCGTCGGCCAACGGCTACCGTTGGTGGCCGTTGCCGGCGTTGACCCGCAGAAAACCTCCGATGTCCGACCACCCACCCGACGGACCGCTCCTGGACCAGCAACCCCGTGTCGACGGTGCCATGCGCGCGACGCAACGAGTCCGTGAAACGCGGGAATCCTAAAATTTTCAGCAGGTCCGGGGCTACTGGAAAATTTAGGACGGTTTTGCCTGGGGAACCCTAAATCCTTCAGGACTCGTCCTAAAGCCGTTTTCACATTTTTGATCTTGAAATTGGATTTAGGATTGCGTGCAACGAAGACGCAATCCTAAAAACAGGCACTTTTAGGAGTGTCTTACGAGACCCAAACAGATATAGGCCGTCGATCTCCGTTATCTACCTCTGTGCCAGTGGGACCTTGCCCCAGGTCCTGGTTTTGATTGGGCACCTCCTCGAAGGCAAATGTTACTGCGGACACCCTCTTGAGCCTGGCCGGTGATGCCGTCCTCAGTTGGGTGGTCCTCCCACTTTTTTGAAAGGGACGGGGGGGCCGTTTCCCGGCTTGTATAATAAAAATAGGGGACTGTTTCCATCTTAAAAAAAAAAAAAAAAAAAAAAAAAAGACACGAGACGTATTTATACTAAGCCCCCGCTAGTGGGA